TGAAGACTGAACCTACCTGATTTTTGTCGGTGCAGGCAATACCTCTGGAATTTGGTTTTTACACTTGGAGAAAAAAGAGTTGAAGCCAGGAAGTGTTGAGGCAATGTTATGCATGACCCTGAGCAAGTTTATTTGTGTGTTCTCTTCTGCAGTCACAGATAGAAGTCATCTAAAAAACAGAAGCTTGCTGCAAAAATGAGCAGTTCTAGGGTAAACAAGCTGCAGATGAACAGTCATCAGCTTGGATCATACTGACATCCTCAGTTGTGGGAATAGATAAATGTAAGAGCACATGCTACTGAGGAGGACACTGGTGTCCATCAGCTCTTTGAATACTAAACTTGGCAAGATTCCCTTAAAATCCCTTAAAAATTCTTGCAGTGTTTGGACGAGTATCAGCATTTCACACAGCCTCCACCGTTCTCTGCTCTCCCAACAGAAACTTTGCAGTCTGCTTTTTAAACAAATGTTTACATTTTCAAACACATGTAGCAATGGTTCCGCTTACGTCTTGCTATTTTCTCACAGCTTCAGATCTGCTTATTTTCATAGAGGCTGATGGGAATGAGAGGTGCAGATCCCTGTGTTACTGTACTGTTCGTGTTTGTTTGCAGTGTGAATGTGAGAGCTATTATTTCAGGTAAGTCAGCCGTGTGCTGATGATGACCAAGTCTGGCATGGCTCTGTGCAGGGCTGTGCCATATATATCTGTTTGAGCCAATGTCTATTTCTGCTTGGAAAGATTTGAGACAGTTTTTTTGTTTTAGGTAGATTTTGAATTGAAAAATGAAATATTTGTTGTGGTACTTATATTGTGGCTAATGAGACATACATTGAGCTATGCCTATGTTCAGCTATTTCAACATGTGCATATCTATGTGTACAGTAATAACAATGCCTTACTGTGGCACTAGAAACATAGATCCCATTTATCAAGCTTTCCATCTTCTCAATCTGCTCCTTCTTTATTTTACTTCTCAGTCATTTTCAATTCCTAATGCAGTTAACACTGGGTTTTCAGTGCTTCATGTGAAAAGAACAGAGGGTAATTCATAGAATCACATAATAGAATCACAGAGTGGCTTAGATTGAAAGGGACCTTGGAGAACATTGAGCTCCAACCCAGCTCAGTGGGTTGGCCAAGCACCATGAAGTTCTGGATAATATTCAGCAGCTTGAACCTTCGTGGCAAGTCAGGTGCCCCCAAGTATTGGAGAGACCACTGAGTGAGTTGCAGAGCATCAGCTGATGGAGCAGCTTGCAGACTAGCTGCAAGAGCTCAGTAGTGCTGTCTCTGTTCTGCAGCACAGCACGGTGAGCCTCTCTGCCTCCATAACTTCTAGCATCTTTCCACCTCTTTGTTTTAAGAATGACACTGATAGAGTTAATTGTGCAGATTAATTATTGGCTCTCCTTTACAAGGAAAAGTTGATTGACTTGGACTGGGCACTGACTAGTAAGCACGACCTGTTAGATAGATTATATAGAAGAGTATACTACAGTTTTAACCAACTTCCTGTGTTTTCTATTAAACATACAACTTAGAAACCTAAAAGTACTAATTTTTATGCATTTCATGATTTCAATATGGTGAATATCTGGGGATAGAGCTTGATAACTAATATAGAAAAGCCTTAATATGGAAATATCATAGAATCATAGAATCACCAAGATTGGAAAGGACCTCCAAGATCATCCAGTCCAACTGTCCACCTATCACCAGTATTTCCTACTAAACCATGTCTCCCTGTACAACATCTACACACTATTCACAAGTAACTGCTATGAAGCTAACATGTGAGGAAACTATGGAAAATAAAGTTAGCAGACTTGTCTCAAGTTATGTACCACCTCTTTGTACAACTCAGCACTGCTTGGACATACACCCAAACTCACAGCGGTACATACATCTGAGCCTCCATACAGATCTCCTGTTGTGAAATACTGTGTGAATACTAATTGGAGACTCGAAGCAGAGAGCAAATGTTACTTACTGGCCTTAAACAACCGTCTAACAACGCCATCCAGAACTTCCCATTTGGTCTTCCCACTCACTCCAATGCAGCCTATGAGAAAGGAGCGAGGCCTTGAATTCTAAATGCAAACAAACATGGATTTATTTAGTTAACAAATAAATCTTTACAGTGTCAGTCAAGTCTGTTTAAGATTAAAATCTTGGTGTAGTTGTGTTGCTTCTTTACCTCACAGTAAAATCTGAATACCATACAAAATTCTTCTTTTCCCTATAAGTTTCTCACAGTGTTGGAGACTCAAATCTAGGGAATGCTTCAGTGGTACCCAGTGATAAGTTAAAGGTGTTTATTAATAAATCCACAAACAACTCCAAAACCCCTGAGAAGATTACAGTTTATCAAAAAGCATGTGGGAAAATTCTAGGCAGACATTCACAACATGTGTTTGTCCATGATTTCACAATCCAAAATGTAGCACTTCCAAGATTTATCTGATTTACTTCTAGAAATGCTTCATAGAAACATGCATAAAAATATAGTGACATTCTAGATATGTCTGTAATGTGTGCATTACATTCAGTATATTATAGCATTTCGCTTCTGATTTCTACAGCAGATAAAGAAAATAGAATGTACTTCATTTTTTTATTCCTTCATAGCTGCACTCACTGTGAAACATTCACTGAAGAAAAACTATTTCTGTCATAAGACTCCAAGTTCAGCTAAAATGTCAAGAATCATTTCCACTACTAACAGTGCACTCAGTGGAGTCCAAGAGAATTAGCAACACTGTTTTACTGTTTATGTGCTTGCCCAGGGCTGTAATTTATTGATGGAAAATTGGTATTTAATGGAAAGATCAGCTGAGCTTTGTTTCTGCTCATTCAAATGTTTGTCCTCTCTTACAAATGATATCAAATTATTTCATAATTTATGAAACATGCACAAGCGCATACACCTTATGCACTTTTACAAGTGCTCAATGCGAGGCAGTAATGTCACTGCAGTACATTTGTGCATGAATACTCACATGAAGTGGGCTGCACTTTGACAAAATTTGTAAACATATTTAAGATTTTTTACATTACTTGAGAATGAAGAACATCTTTTGTTTGAATACATGAAGGGCTGATGGAATCAATTACAGCTTTTTCTTCTCTTTTCAGACCTGACATAAGAAAGCACAAAACCTGCAGCAGGTTTTGCCTAGTGTTTTGAAACATACATCACTCAGTTGAGATTACAATTAGCTCAGCAGTGCAGGAAAGAATAGAAGGTGAGTTCTAGCTCATCGTAAATATGCATGAAGAGTGCCTATGTCAATGGGAGTGCAGACAGGGCTAGGCTCTGGGGGTTTTATTCTCATTACATTACCTGTTCATACAATGTGTATGGGAACTGCTGAGTCACGGCCTGAACCTCTGATTGATCACCTGAGGCGAGCCATGAGTCAGCCAGAGGAGCCCAGGTGAAGGCAATTCACCTGTGCTGCCTGGCTCCACCCCTGCTAGACCTATTTCAGAGCCAGCTACCAGTGGGGAAGGCTCTCTTCTGGAGCCTCTCTACCTTCACTATTTTTGGATCCTGTCCAATAGCTTTTTGTCTTATATTGTGGCTCCCACAGCCATGCTTGAGGTGAGGCTGCACTAATGCTGGGCAGAGAAAAACCATCCCTCACCTGGATAGCAGCGTTTGTGGAGAAGAAATGCACTTAATGCTTCATAGTGCCTAGCTCAACTGAAATGCCTGCGGAGGCCATATCTTCAGGCATAACTAAACTAGTCCCAAGTTGCTGCATCTCACGCCGGCATCCAAATTGGCTCCTGGATGGTTCAGGAACATCAGCGCAAGGAAGGACAATTCATCTTTGTATTTCCCCTCTGGTGTCATTACAGTTTCAGAGAACCACAGAATTCAGTTCTCGGAATGTATTTCTCTCTGTTCAGGCTAAGTTCACACACTTCCTCTTGGAAAACATAGGGATGCAGTATGCACTGGCAGCTCTGAGGGTAAAAGGCTCTGTTAGGATTGCCACCACATCTTCCCGCAGATATCAACCTTTTCTTCAAGCTCTTCTATAGTCTGTAGTTCATCAGTGTAAATTTCTCCGGATGCATCTAACTTTTAAATGAGAATAACTTCATATCTTAAAAGTTGTAGGTTCTTCATTATCAGTTCGGAAAATTTACAGCGAGACAGGTCACATTTTGAATTTCTGAGGCAACATGGACTGAACTTGACTGAGACAGAAAAAGGAAAAAGAAAAATTGAGAGGCGTGTTACCAGGTAGTTCCATATATAGTGGAGTAATAGAACATAAGTCAATTCAATATATTGTCTAGCTGTCTTGCTCAATCCCTCATTTATTTCAATCTTGAATCCCTAAATATCATCTGTCCTGTGGGTGAACTATTGCAGGCACTCGTTTATAGTAATGATATCTGTTTCACAGAGCTATCAAGCCCCCAGCAGCACCAGACATTTTCAGATTTGGAACTGGAGCTTGTGCCATTGCACTTTATCACAGACCACGTGAGATTCTGTGTAATCCATTCTCTTCGGGAGCATCTCTCCAGTATCAGAGCAGGAGCTCACTCTGCTCTTCCTTGCAGTTTAGATGCTAGACACCTCATCTTGCAGAACTCTTCCTCCCACCTTTTCTGGGCTCATACCAGTCTCACAACATCATGAAGAGGAAAGAACGCACTCTGCTTTTTGGAAGAAGCTGCATAAACATATGACAAAACTCCACACTGGGAGCATTATGAAGAAAAAAAAATAAAAAGACATTTAAAAAGAAAAGGCACAGATAGGTTTTGATTTTGATTCTACCTGTTCCTATCAGAACAGTTCTGGACATTGAGAAATGCTGCTGAATATCTGTATGTGACACTTTGAGCACCACTTGCAATATTTTTAGCAGCAAATTGGTCAAAATTTTCCTTCCCAAGTCACTGTGAAGAGACAAAGCAAAGTCAGCTGGGACACCAGTGACATAGGGGGAGGAAACATGATAGAACAAACTTCTCCATTAAAGCAAAGTAGCTGCTGCTTTGATAATATTCTAGTGTGCTGTGCTCTCACGGAGCTGCAAGGGAGCAATGGCTGAAGCCAGTTGCAACAAGACAAGTCCATGTTACACTGACCTCAGAAGTCTACTAAAAAATCTACGCTGCTACCCTCACAGAAGGAAGAGCAGTTCACACTATAACCCTAGGAACCATCTCTATAGACATACATATGGTAGACACAGTTTTGGGAGAGGTGCCCAGGGCTTAACACCAGCTTCAACTCCGATCATATGGTATTATATTTATTATCTCCCATTCAGCTGCTATATTAGTAAACTAAGTTTTTTCCTGTAGCTCATTGCTGCTGGTTTCCTCGGCCCGCCTCTCTACCTTTTCCCTTTCTCTCCCTGCACTTCCCAGGGCATGGATCTGTGGGTCTCTTTGCTCCCTTGTCACAGAGACATCATTCAATATCATTCAAATGTACACTCCTAATTATAACCTTGAATAAAAATCTAAAGTTTGGAGTGCCAGGATTTTCAAGAGTGCAGTGACTGAAATTCCCATTAGCAATTAAGGATTGGTTGGGAAAGGGTTTTGTATTTTAGTTGATGATGATGATACTCACATCTGATACTCACATCTGTGTAAAATCAGAATGGAACCCAAAAAGTCCAGCATTTGGGTCCTATTCTGGAAGAGAAGGTTTTTGTATTGAGAGACAGACAACTGCTGTGCATCTAATTTCCAAACCTTGCCTTCCATGCCTTTGTTCATGACTGTGCTTCATGCACACAGGCAAAAGAAGGAAAAGAACATAACCTGTTTACTGATCAGAGTAGTTCCTTTAGGCTGAATGCAAACATGGCGTATTCTTATGAGATGCTTGTAAAAATTTATTTCCAAATAGCAGCAGCAAGCGGTGGTTTCCAGCACTTCTGAAGCCCTGAGAACCGACCTTTTACTCAACAGTAAGAGCACGAGCCAGCTGGGGTCTGTTGAAATAAACTCTTTCTTCCTTGATGTATTTTAACAACTCCAGTTTTGTTACAAGTGTCTTCAAGATGGCATCTTTCTCCTTTTTGCTGTGGTTGGTTTTTTGGTTTGTTTGTTTTGGTTTGTTTTGCTTTGTTTTCCCCCCAGGACTTCAGTTTTCCGTGCTAGTGGTCCAGAACCTAACAGCGTGCAGAAGATAGGTAGAAGTGCATCATCTCTGTTGAGCATGTACTCCCTTCAGAAGGAAAAAGAGACTCAAAACTTTTGAGTTCCTCCTATTTCTAGTGGAAGGAGGTTTCTCTGGATGTTATCTTTTGTTTGAATACATGAAGGGCTGATGGAATCAATTACATCTAATTCTTCTCTTTTCAGACCTGACATAAGAAAGCACAAAACCTGCAGCAGGTTTTGCCTAGTGTTTTGCACATACATCACTCAATTGAGATTACAATTAGCTCAGCAGTGCAGGAGAGAAGAGAAGGTGAGTTCTGGCTCATCATAAATATGCATGAAGAGTGCCCATATCAATGGGAGTGCAGACAGGGCTAGGCTCTGGGGGTTATATTCTCATATTCTGAATCCAACAGGCCTACCGTCTCTTTAAGTAGTTCTCTGAAATTATCTGACTTACTGGGGGAATGCAATGCCGTTTCCGCAGTGAGGAGCAGCAAGATGAGTATTTCATGATCTCTGCTGCCATCTCTTGTCATTTATTGGTACTAACAATTCTTTTGGGGATTCTCTTATTCCAATAAGGGGTTCTTTAATAACCCCTGTCACTTGTCCTTTAGGTAATCCTTCCATGTTTATGCAGGCTTAGTAGATAGATGAAACAAATGATATGTACCAAAATTGTAACTTTTGTGTTATAGACTATTCCGTTTTGCCAAGAGGCCCTCAGCAAAAGAGCAATTTAAGGGGCCTCTGACAGGAGGTCAAACTGTCCCTCTTTTGGATTAGGAGGAATGCAAGTGGTGCTTCCCTACATTTTTCCTTCCAACTTACCTCTATCCCAGGACAGCAGGTGTCCAGGAATAATGGCCTAGTGCTGAAGGAGCAAATGTGAGAAGTGAATTAGCTATATATGCTTAGCTAACAGCAATTCACCTTTAGCCAGTATCCGTATGTTTAGTTGAATATGGGGAAAATTGTGAACCTGCAGCCAATGGGGAACCAGGGCAGAGTAGTTCCTTTAGGCTGAATGCAAGCATGGCACAAACTTAGGAGATGCTTGTATTTTTTTTCCCCATTTTGCTGTGGTTGGTTTTTTGGATTGTTTGTTTTGTTTTGTTTTGCTTTGTTTTCTTTTCCCCCCAGGACTCTCTCCATCATATGAGCCGCTCTCCATCATATTTGAGAAGTCGTGGCTGTCAGGTGAGGTCCCGGATGACTGGAGGAAGGGTCACATCACTCCCATATACAAGAAGGGGAGCAGGGAGGACCCGGGGAACTACAGGCCGGTGAGTCTCACCTCCGTGCCTGGGAAGATGTTGGAACAGATCCTCCTGGACAACATGCTCGATCACATAAAGAATGAGCATGTGATCCGAGACAGCCAGCACGGCTTCACCAAAGGAAGGTCATGCCTAACTAATCTTGTGGCCTTCTATGATGGAGTGACGGCATTGGTGGACGAAGGGAAGGCGACCGATGTCATTTACCTGGACCTGAGCAAGGCCTTTGACATGGTCCCCCACCACATCCTCATCTCCAAATTGGAGGGAAGTGGATTTGATGGGTGGACGACCCGATGGATAAGCAATTGGTTGAAAGGCCGCAGACAGAGGGTGGTGGTCAATGGCTCTATGTCCAGGTGGAGGCCGGTAACAAGTGGTGTCCCCCAAGGGTCTGTCTTGGGACCGGTGCTCTTTAACATCTTTATTAATGACATCGATGAGGGAATTGAGTGCACCCTCAGCAAGTTTGCTGACGACACCAAGCTGAGTGGTGCGGTTGATACGGTGGAAGGAAGGGATGCCATTCAGAGGGACCTCGACAGGCTGGAGGGCTGGGCTCGGGTGAACCTAATGAGGTTCAACACGGCAAAGTGCAAGGTTTTGCATTTGGGCCAGAAGAACCCCAGGCCCCCGTACAGGCTGGGAGGAGTGGTCCTTGAGAGCAGCTCGGCAGAGAAGGACCTGGGGGTCCTGATGGACGAGAGACTTAACATGAGCCAGCAGTGCGCTCTGGCAGCTCGAAAGGCAAATGGGATCCTGGGCTCCATCAGGAGAGGGGTGGTCAGCAGGGAGAGGGAGGTGATTGTCCCTCTCTACTCGGCTCTTCTGAGGCCCCATCTGGAATACTGTGTCCAGGTGTGGAGCCCTCAGTACAAGAAAGACATAGAGATCTTGGAAAGGGTCCAGAGGAGGGCGACTAAGATGATCAGGGGGCTGGAGCACCTCCCCTATGAGGACAGGCTGAGGGAGTTGGGCTTGTTCAGCCTGGAGAAGAGAAGGCTGCGGGGTGACCTCATTGCAGCCTATCAATACCTGAAGGGAACCTACACCCAGGAGGGGAGTAAACTCTTCAGAAGGGCTGACAACAGCAGGACTAGGGGAAATGGATCCAAGTTGAAGGAGGAAAGATTTAGGTTGGATGTTAGGGGGAAGTTCTTCACAAGGAGAGTAGTTAGGCCCTGGAACGGGCTGCCCAGGGAGGTTGTGGATGCCCCGTCGTTGGACGTGTTCAAGGCCAGGTTGGACGGGGTCCTGGGCAACCTGATCTGAATGTGTATGTTTGGTGGCCCTGCTAGGCAGGGGGGTTGGAACTACATGATCCTTGAGGTCCCTTCCAACCCGGGTGATTCTGTGATTCTGTGATTCTGTGACTTCAGTTTTCCGTGCTAGTGGTCCAGAACCTAACAGCGTGCAGAAGATAGGTGGAAGTGGGTCATCTCTGTTGAGCGTGTACTCCCTTCAGAAGGAAAAAGAGACTCAAATCTTTTGAGTTCCTCCTATTTCTAGTGGAAGGAGGTTTCTCTGGATGTTATCTTTTGTTTGAATACATGAAGGGCTGATGGAATCAATTACATCTTATTCTTCTCTTTTCAGACCAGAAATGAGTAAGCACAAAACCCGGCACGGGCACAACATTCTCACATTTGCTCATTCACCTGCTGTCCTGGGATAGAGGTAAGTTGGAAGGATAATTTCAGAGAACTACTTAAAGAGACAGTAGGCCTGTTGGATTCAGAATATGAGAATATAACCCCCAGAGCCTAGCCCTGTCTGCACTCCCATTGATATGGGCACTCTTCATGCATATTTATGATGAGCCAGAACTCACCTTCTCTTCTCTCCTGCACTGCTGAGCTAATTGTAATCTTAACTGAGTGATGTATGTTGCAAAACACTAGGCAAATGTAACGTACCAAGCACCAGAAGAGAGTTAGACGAGTTTCGTTCCCCTTCAAAACTCCTTTGGCATGAACATAATGTCGTAACATATAACATATGTTATAACATATTTTATGGAATATTGCTTTGGCAAGTTTAATTATGATTACATGCTGCACTGAATCTGTGAGTTCAACTCTGTTATATTGGTATCTCCAGAGCCCTTTTCTTGTGGTGTCTTTATGCTCTAGTGAACTAGTGCATCACCTGGGATCGGCAGCACTAGATATTGAAATTCGTTGTCGAAATTTCCATGCATTGTAACTTCAAATACTCAGGGAATTGTAATGGTATCTTGGTAAGTGTTGGAAATATCCCAATAATTTTCTGGGACGGTAGCTCTGATCAAGCAGATTTTGTTTGCAATTGCAATCGTGGGCCTCCAGCAGGCAGAGGAGTTGCTAAGTTGGGATAAAATGCTAAGAAGATATTATGATTTGCCAAATGAAATCAAATCATTTATGGAATCAAAAAGAAATATTGTTCCTAAAGGCTTACCTAGTTAGCCTCATTACCTTTTTGGCAGTAGGTACATATAAATACTGTTTGCACACTGTTTTGAAATGTAATATTTATGGTAAATGAATTTTCACAGAATTGTTTTCATGGATGAGACTGATCAATTTCCTGAAATTATGAGCCACACTGATATTACTGATAAATACAAACGCGCAAAATATATTATATTGCATAAACACAGTCTTTACATGAAATAAAAAATTAGTCTCACCGTCTAGTTTGTCTGATAAATTTACGAATAATTAAGAAGGACATGGAAGAAGATGAATGGGCGAAACACATCCATCTGTTCCAGTAACAAGTAAAGTTCTGTAAGTTTCCCTTGAATTTGTCGAATAACCTACACAGATCTTCAAAAAACATTGTGAATTCTAACCAAAATGTAGCTGTTACAGAGGGATTAAACCGTTATAAGTATATATAGTATAAAGTACATACAGTACTAAACATTTTGAAAAATGCAATGAAAAATGAAAATTTGTATAGAATTAAAATTGAGATTTTGAAGTAGTGAGTGAATGGTAATCAAAGAAATAAAGTGAAAACTTAGATTTTGTTGAATCCCAGTGAGTATACTCATGCAGGCAGCCCAGTTCCCTAATGTAGCTGTCTTTTCATATGGTCCTAAACTTCTACATTAGATTCCGTTCTTGCTTGCCTGCTTGTAGTCATAAGTCCAGAGAGATTTCCCTTTGGAATGTTAAAAATTGAGTTCTCCTGAATCAGCTTCCACAAAACAAATGTTCCTCACACAAACTTCCTCACACAAGGGTACTTTGTAAGAAGAAAACAGATTAAATACAAGGCCAAATATCTCCTGGCTCACTTAAATACTATCCTTGCCCTGTAAGTTTTAGCAAGTCACTTAAATTAGTGGTTGTAACACAATGAAAAGCACGACAGTGATAGCAGAGTAGCAAGACCCCAGGCTACAGGGAGGGAAAACTTGCTAAACAGAGCAGTCATGGAGACAGAAATAAGGAAAAAAAACCTGCTTATCCTTGGAAGGCCTCAGCTATGCAGGGATCTCCAGATGAGATACCCTCACCTCCACTGCCAACACTTAAATGAGGTCTGGGAAGAGGAAGATCCTGTCAATACCCATACTGGTCATTCATGTGCACTGCATACGCTTGAGCTCCCCTGGCTTGGCCCTGCCTTACTACTAGGTGCTCAATCACTGTTTCAAGCCCTGACTTAGCATTTCCACCACAGTGGTCACGCCTGTTCATGTGGCCAAAATCTCTAGTACACTTGGATCTGAACATTATTTTAAAGGCAGAAAAATTATCCCAGTCTTTTATAACTAAAAACTTCTGCCGAAGCCTTTGTGTGATCTACACTGTATGCCATTGTAGAAGTTAAGTTCGGCAACAAACTGAGAGCAACAGACTAATGTTAATCAAATCCAGACTACATGGTGTCTTTTTTCTGTCTGCCTTCCTTTTCCAAGACTCACAAACTGCATTTCAGGTATTTCTGTCAAGAGCGTCAAAAGTTATGCTTTTAAGAAAAGAGTTATCATCTCATGGGTATTCATTATAAAAAGAAGTTAAAAAAAAAAAAAAAAAAAAAAGGATGTTGCAGATAAGAAGCATTAAGAATGACTTTACAACGTAATTGCAGCTTCTCTAGTCTAACGTTTCTTCAAAAAGGCTGGAGAGATCAATATTTCTCAAAACAAGAGAAATTTCTTTACTCTTTTTTATTACTTTCTCAGAAAACTGTAACATTCTTACTACTATGGTAATATTGCAGGCTATGGGCTTCTACAATCAATAGATGCACAAAGGTTAGGCTTCATAAGAATACCATGATGAAAAGATATATACATTTAAAAATAAAATAAAATAAAATAAAATAAAATAAAATAAAGGAAATGCTAACTGGACTCATAGGCTGACAGTAAACACCCCAGAGAGCAACCTCCAGAAAGAGATCCCTCCTCAGTGGTAGTCAGCCCTTAAATGGGATCTCCACCCTTTCCTGGTAGCACTGGCAAATTGCTTTCACCTGTGCTCCCATGGCTGACTTCTTGCTTGCCTCAGGTGGTCAATAAGAGGTCCAGGCTGTGATCAACAGTTCCCATACAACGATAACATTACTTGAGAGAGAAAACTCTCAGCTTCAAAATACTATTTTTTAACAGTCACCACCACTAGCTATGCATTTTTGATGTGATTTAGCAATTAACATGAGCCTGCATGCTGCATTTGTAAAAATCTGCACCAGCAGGGGTAAACTACTGCTGTTGTCACCACTGCTGAAGTCCAACATCTACCACCTCCCTGAGCTCATGTCCATTGTCTGGACTCCATCCAGCGGCGGTGAATGTTGTTGGGTGCAATATTTTCCATACGGAGGAAGTCAATTCCTCAGCTTTGCGTCATTTGCAATTCTATGTTCAATGCCATTTTGTCAGACGGCTTCTCTCCTGTTATTTGTTGGCTGGCAAATATTATATTTGGACCTTTTTATGTGCTCCCCTCAGTGAAAGGGAAGAGTGCTTTGAGCATTAGCGTTTGAAAAGTGTCTGATTCCTGGGGAGATAAGGAGCCACTTGAGCTTTTGAATACGTACAACTCCTCCCTTAGCATAGATCTTTCATTGTATTAATAAATGAGTAACAGCATTGCCAGTATGAAACGTGAAGATATGTTATTTGACCTTTTAGAAAAACATGGTGCTCGTCCCTCTTTATCAGGAATGGATTGGGCACGACAGAACTGGTATAACTTGCAGAGTGTTTTCCACCTTATTAGTATCCTGCAAAAGAATGCTCGTACTCGAGCTGGAAAAGGGAAGTCCTTTATTTGTGCTGTACTACTATAAAAGCAGCCGTGGATGTCCGAGATGAAAAGCATTCGGCAGAAACCCAAACTATAACAAGCACTGCAGGAATCAATTAAAGTTACACAAGAATTGGTGACAACTCTGCAGAATCAAATAGTGAACCTTGAGGAACAATTAGAAAGTGAGAAATGTAATTCGACTTTGCTGCAAATGGCTTTTAAGGAACTGCTATCGTGTAAGCATGCCAGCCATACCGTCTCCCACAGTTTGCCTCGAGAAAAAACTTTTCCTCAGGTGGAACTACCAGGAATGAAGGAAAGGCTAGATAAATTAGAAACTCCAATAGCCCCATTGCGTCCTGTGTTAAAAAAAGAATACACATTCGGTAACAGTGAGGATCTAGATCCTCTAATGAATGTTAAGGAAATTCCCTTCTCAGCCACTGAACTAGCAAAATTGAAGGAAGATTTTATCCGCTCTCCAAAGGAATCTGAGACAGAATATGTATGGAGGGTGAGTCTCACTGGTGGCAACCAGATTCGGTTAACAGAAAAGGAGGCAGAAGGTTACTGGGGACCAGGAGTATTTTTAACTACTGGCAACAGTCGTGCTCCCTGGTCCTTAACACAAAGGGCTGCCTATTGGGCAGGTAGTCTCAACCCTTTAGAAAGGGGAGACTCCCTTGCCATTGCTGGAACAGATGATCAGCTAGTGGAGAGTGTTCAAAAGGCTGCTTGTCTCCAAATGATGTATGATAGAAAGCTGCAGCCACATCATGAATCACCTATGATGATGCCTGTTGATCCTGAGAGAATGACTGCTTTAATTAGAGGGCTTCCAGAGTCGTTCAACTGCAAGGAAAAATACAGGTAATGCCTCAGGGAGAGAAAGCCCGGCCAGTGTTAGAAGGAACTGTAACCAACCACCTGCAGTCAGGAAACAAAGCATGGACGTGGGGAGAGGTTGCCCCAGAGATAATTAACTATGGAAGGAAATATGGGCCAGTGGTTTCTTCCTCCACTAAATTTGAGCCAAGAGAAGTGAGGCTTGCAGCAGTCAGCCTTGCCCCCAAGCCTCCTCCTAGCTCAAAGCTCAGTGGGACTGGAAGGGTCTCATTGTCAGTAAAAACAGGTAGGCGAAATATTGATCATAAACATAATTGTCTCTGGACATTGGGCTGGCAAAAGGGTGTTCCACGAGATTTGATGAATGGATTACCCACTGACAGGTTAGAGAAATTAGTTAACTGGTGGCCAGAACAAAAGCTCCAGAATCTCGACGAGAGCAAAAACCAGGTCCTATGGTCTCTGCCCTGAACGGCTATCCAAGCCATTACAAAACTGATGTCTTCACCCCTCCCACGTGAGCGGGGTGGGGCGGTGAAGGGTGGATGCATGAGAAAGCTCACAACAAAGGGAAACAAGATCCTCGATTTAACACCTTCTGTCCAAAGGCCCAACCACTCTTGCCAGTTATCCCTGTGAGTCACGATCCAGTGGCTGATCAGCCAGGGAAACCCTCTTACTTCCCTGGACAGACTGTGTCAATTGACTCAGCTAGCCTGAGGCCAGTTTCCCTAACCTTAACGGTATCTCTTAAAAAATATCTTTGGAAGGCTAAAAACACGCCTCTCCCAAAAAAAAAAAAAAAGAATATGAAATCAACACTTGCTGGATTGTTCCCTCATATTTTTTAACTCTATTAACAAAGCCCAAAAAGGGCAAGTTGGTGTCTTCTTTTATTTCACAGAAGATCCCCGTGGGACCTTGACAGAACACAAAAAGGCTAATAGCTGATTTTATCTATTTGTGTTTTGTGACAGAAATACTGAAGACTTGATCATGCTAGAATACTGAATGTACCTCTTGATTACATTTTTTGGTTCCAATAGTGTTATGTTTTGTGTTGTTGTGGGTGTGGGTAGTAATTTATTTTCCCTAAACTAAAAGACAACTTAAGGGGCCTCTGATAGGAAGTCAAACTGTCCCTCTTTTGGATGAGGAGGAATGCAAGTGATGCTCCCGTACATTTTTCCTTCCAACTTCCCTCTATCCCAGGACAGCAGGTGTCCAGGAAGGATGGCCTAGCGCTGAAGGAGCAAATGTGAGAATTAGCAATATACGCTTAGCTAGCAACAGTTCTTCTTTAGCCAGTATCTGTATGTTTAGTGGAATGTCGGGAAAATTGTGAGCCTGCAATACTCAGCCAATGGGGAACCTGGGCAGGGAGAGAGAAGCGTTGGCTGATAGGGAATAAAAGACATGAAGGCTGTTCTGATTGTTCTGATAGCTGTAACACCTTTGCGACAATGTAATCTGCCAGGTAGTGGTGGCTTTTAGATGTAGTAGCTCAGATACGATCAGTAAGGAACTTAATTTTCAGATTGGCAGACTTTTTAGGAGCTCCTATCTCCTTAGTTCACTTGACAACTGGTGTCTTTAAAGAACTGGAAACAGCACTTATGTACTATACTGTTGCAGAGACTTCAGAAGCTAGCTTCCTGTGACAAACCTAACTGCAGCTTTTCCATCTTTGAGTATGTACTGGGGATTATTGCCAAGCCTTGTAGGGGTATGAAAGAACAACAAAGGAATTCCATGAATTGTTATGGGCTGTGAATATATCCAGTTCTGCTTACTAATTAAAAAAATAAAATTAAATTAAAAAAAAAAAAAATGCTTTGTGGAAAGCAGCATCTTCTCTTGAAATCTTATCTGTCTTAGGAAAAAACACCTTTGTTTCTCAGCTTTGGTTCTGTCTTGTTCTTGATATGCTTTGTGAATTAACATGACAATTTTCTAATGACAGCTCTCTCCCACGATCATCCCAGCGAACATCTGCTGCATGCAACACTGGAATCTTCCTGAATTTCATTTCTCTATGTGCAGATTTCCAGAAGAGTGCAATGGAACTAGCAACAGGTTTTGCAAGAATGGGACTTCTTTATTTCTCTGATCCATATTCCAATAATATTATTGTGTAAATAAATATGAAGCTTGAATTTTGCCGAGTTTTGAACTTTGAATGGACTTTGGCCTGCTTAAAGAAAGAATGTTCCTGAGCCTTTTCAGCATCACCAATCATCCGGCTTGCCTGGGTGGCATTAGCTGAAGAGTCATTGTCTTGGGCTGAAGATAACATGTCCTTAGTATACATGAGTAACAAAGCTTCTTTGTAATGTATGACTAAAGCATAAAATGAGAAAGCATAACACTAGTGGGAATTTGGACCTTGCTTTTGTGAAGTGAGTGCATCAGTGTCTGATTCCAGGGAAGCGGTTGCAATTTTGAAGGAGTTCTCCAGGTGTTTGCCAGAGGTTTTTGATGAAATATTGCTCTTTCTGTCTCTGGGGCTATTACCTTGTTTTTCCCTGTTTGTGTTAAAGGCAGATTTACAATTCTCAATCAGTTAATATTGTTTGATCCTTAATTTCAGTTTTGTTAAATTTCTTGCCAGAGTAACCTGGTATGCACAAGAATTTATGTCCTCCTACTTGTTTTCTCAGGCCATATTCAATTAATCCCAAAAAGTAAGCTATTTATTTGTTTGTTTATTGGGGATTAGCTGCTTCTGTTGTTACAAAATCATCTACGGGCAGTAAGATGCACCCGTGGATATCATCCACGAAAGATAAACTTCTTTATCCTGCTCTCCTAGCTGTAATTTAACCAGTGGAACTGCTAGGGTAGACTTCCCAAATTCTCACCCTTCATTTATGCAAGCAGAAATTGTCCCCTCTTTCTCAGTAATTTACACATTACTTTCATTCCAAAGGGGCAGAGCTCTCTCTGGGCTCTTCCAGCCCCCCCACCCCATTTCTCTCTGAGTGGATCCCTGGATCCTATGGCCCTACTCCAGTGCCATGACACTAACAGCTGCTGTTATTCCCAGTTTACCTCCTCCTCTCCAGATGCACCCAGTACCAACACTGGGATTCTCTCTGCAGAGGCTCGTCTCACTTCCAGTGCCCTGCCCTCTCACCTCCCCCTTTGCAAGTAATGCTGTTTGCAGCAGAAGTCTCTGTCTGCAGCTCACTCTCTCACACCAAGTTCTGCTTGCGGGGAAACGCTGTGGGGGGTTGCTCTCACACCAGCACAGATTAACTGACTTTCTCTTTAAGCCTCTTTCCTTTGTCGCACCTCAGTTACCACATACCCTCCATTCTACTTCTGTATACCAGTAACAATTACCTTTCTCATACCACCAAACCACATGTCTCATTCCTTTCAAAGCCCACAAATCAAACCGCACAATTCTTCAACTTCCACAAACACCCATCACTTGGTCTCTCCTGATTAGGGTGCTCAATAAGAAAAAAAGCTGCCGCTTTCAGCCTCCAGCCGCGGTGTCTTGTTAAACCGTACCCGAAAAGTGCGACTGCAGCCAGCGGCTTTTCTCCGATTTGTGGGCTCTTCTCCGCACATCCGAAAGGAGCGGTTTGGACTTCGCCGTGCGTACATATATGCAGAATGAAATGCGCCTGGTTCTGAATGTTGTGCCCGTGCCTTCATTTCGAGCGACAATTCTTTGTGGTGCGGTTCTCTGCGGCTCCCCTTCTGTGTTCTGTGACCGCAGAGGTAGAAGGGAAAAGCCTCTCTTAAAGAGGCAGCTGGAGATTCGAGGGGCAACAGATGCTGTGCTCTCAGGGAGCACATTGGAAGAAGTCGGGAGAGATCCTTTCTGGACTGCGGAGAAAATAAACCCCTCCGCAGGAACGGCAGCAGGCTGAATTCGGACGTTCTCGGCTTCAGAACGGCACAACTTCGCTCTCACGGCTCGGAAGTGGCACTCGAGGTACAGCGCTCCGGAGCGTTTGCCGCTGCTGCCCGGAGAATCGCGCTTCTAGCCGACTGCCGCTTACAGCCTCCAGCCGCGGTGTCTTGTTAAACCGTACCCGAGAAAGTGCGACTGCAGCCGGCGACTTTTCTCCGATTGGCGGGCTCTTCTCCGCACTTCCGAAAGGACGGTTCGGACTTCGCCGTGCGTACATATATGCAGAATGAAATGCGCCTGGTTCTGAATGTTGTGCCCGTGCCTTCATTTCGAGCGACAATTCTTTGTGGTGCGGTTCTCTGCGGCTCCCCTTCTGTGTTCTGTGACCGCAGAGGTAGAAGGGAAAAGCCTCTCTTAAAGAGGCAGCTGGAGATTCGAGGGGCAACAGATGCTGTGCTCTCAGGGAGCACATTGGAAGAAGTCGGGAGAGATCCTTTCTGGACTGCGGAGAAAATAACCCCCTCCGCAGGAAAGGCAGCAGGCTGAATTCGGACGTTCTCGGCTTCAGAACGGCACAACTTCGCTCTCACGGCTCGGAAGTGGCACTCGAGGTAAAGCGCTCCGGAGCGTTTGCCGCTGCTGCCCGGAGAATCGCGCTTCTAGCCGACTGCCGCTTACAGCCTCCAGCCGCGGTGTCTTGTTAAACCGTACCCGAGAAAGTGCGACTGCAGCCGGCGACTTTTCTCCGATTGGCGGGCTCTTCTCCGCACTTCCGAAAGGAGCTGTTCGGACTTCGCCGTGCGTACATATTGCAGAATGAAATGCGCCTGGCTCTGAATGTTGTGCCCGTGCCTTCATTTCGAGCGACAATTCTTTGTGGTGCGGTTCTCTGCGGCTCCCCTTCTGTGTTCTGTGACCGCAGAGGTAGAAGGGAAAAGCCTCTCTTAAAGAGGTAGCTGGAGATTCGAGGAGCAACAGATGCGGAGCTCTCAGGGAGCACATTGGAAGAAGTCGGGAGAGATCCTTTCTGGACTGCCGAGAAAATAACCCCCTCCGCAGGAAAGGCAGCAGGCTGAATTCGGACGTTCTCGGCTTCAGAACGGCACAACTTCGCTCTCACGGCTCGGAAGTGGCACTCGAGGTAAAGCGCTCCGGAGCGTTTGCCGCTGCTGCCCGGAGAATCGCGCTTCTAGCCGACTGCCGCTTACAGCCTCCAGCCGCGGTGTCTTGTTAAACCGTACCCGAGAACGTGCGACTGCAGCCGGCGACTTTTCTCCGATTGGCGGGCTCTTCTCCGCACTTCCGAAAGGAGCTGTTCGGACTTCACCGTGCGTACATATATGCAGAATGAAATGCGCCTGGCTCTGAATGTTGTGCCCGTGCCTTCATTTCGAGCGACAATTCTTTGTGGTGCGGTTCTCTGCGGCTCCCCTTCTGTGTTCTGTGACCGCAGAGGTAGAAGGGAAAAGCCTCTCTTAAAGAGGCAGCTGGAGATTCGAGGGGCAACAGATGCGGAGCTCTCAGGGAGCACATTGGAAGAAGTCGGGAGAGATCCTTTCTGGACTGCCGAGAAAATAACCCCCTCCGCAGGAAAGGCAGCAGGCTGAATTCGGACGTTCTCGGCTTCAGAACGGCACAACTTCGCTCTCACGGCTCGGAAGTGGCACTCGAGGTACAGCGCTCCGGAGCGTTTGCCGCTGCTGCCCGGAGAATCGCGCTTCTAGCCGACTGCCGCTTACAGCCTCCAGCCGCGGTGTCTTGTTAAACCGTACCCGAGAAAGTGCGACTGCAGCCTGCGACTTTTCTCCGATTGGCGGGCTCTTCTCCGCACTTCCGAAAGGAGCTGTTCGGACTTCTCCGTGCGTACATATATGCAGAATGAAATGCGCCTGGCTCTGAATGTTGTGCCCGTGCCTTCATTTCGAGGGACAATTCTTTGTGGTGCGGTTCTCTGCGGCTCCCCTTCTGTGTTCTGTGACCGCAGAGGTAGAAGGGAAAAGCCTCTCTTAAAGAGGTAGCTGGAGATTCGAGGGGCAACAGATGCTGTGCTCTCAGGGAGCACATTGGAAGAAGTCGGGAGAGATCCTTTCTGGACTGCGGAGAAAATAAACCCCTCCGCAGGAACGGCAGCAGGCTGAATTCGGACGTTCTCGGCTTCAGAACGGCACAACTTCGCTCTCACGGCTCGGAAGTGGCACTCGAGGTAAAGCGCTCCGGAGCGTTTGCCGCTGCTGCCCGGAGAATCGCGCTTCTAGCCGACTGCCGCTTACAGCCTCCAGCCGCGGTGTCTTGTTAAACCGTACCCGAAAAGTGCGACTGCAGCCGGCGACTTTTCTCCGATTGGCGGGCTCTTCTCCGCACTTCCGAAAGGAGCTGTTCGGACTTCTCCGTGCGTACATATATGCAGAATGAAATGCGCCTGGCTCTGAATGTTGTGCCCGTGCCTTCATTTCGAGGGACAATTCTTTGTGGTGCGGTTCTCTGCGGCTCCCCTTCTGTGTTCTGTGACCGCAGAGGTAGAAGGGAAAAGCCTCTCTTAAAGAGGTAGCTGGAGATTCGAGGGGCAACAGATGCTGTGCTCTCAGGGAGCACATTGGAAGAAGTCGGGAGAGATCCTTTCTGGACTGCGGAGAAAATAACCCCCTCCGCAGGAAAGGCAGCAGGCTGAATTCGGACGTTCTCGGCTTCAGAACGGCACAACTTCGCTCTCACCGCTCGGAAGTGGCACTCGAGGTAAAGCGCTCCGGAGCGTTTGCCGCTGCTGCCCGGAGAATCGCGCTTCTAGCCGACTGCCGCTTACAGCCTCCAGCCGCGGTGTCTTGTTAAACCGTACCCGAGAAAGTGCGACTGCAGCCGGC